ATGTGCAATGCAATAACTGCCGGCAATGTAGTCCGGGGGTGAGAGGTCGTTACGCTGGCGCAAGGACATGACTCACTGGAAGCAGGCGATAGAGCAGCAGGAGAGGTGCGTGCGCACAGTCCTCACCTAGCTATAGACTGCTGATGCATGAAGTGGACACCGTGAACAGTTGTCACGCATCACAGCGGCCAGATTTCTTGATGCTTCGCTGATATTCTTCTTCTTCTTCTTCTTCTTCTTCTTCTTCTTTTTCTGAAGGCGAGGTGAAAGGAGGCAATCTTTCTTCTCTTATTATTATTGATTATTGATTATTATTATTCTGCCTCATTCGGCCTTGTCCTGCGCCATTCTTTCTTCTTATTTATCTCATCTTTTTTCCTCTTCTTTACCTAGTTAATTTTTGCTTCTATCTACTTTTTTTTTCTTGTTTTCTCTTTTTTTCTTCCCTTTTTCTTGTCTCCTCCACCCGCAGAGAGTTGTTGTTGAGTCCTCTAGCGTATAGATAAAAAACTGAAACCGTATAAGTTCTGAAAAGTGTTCTAAAATTGACATCTAAAATATACTTGAAGCAATTTATGTACTTCACAGGTTTAGTTCTGTAAAGCGGTTACAGAACTTTTTTTAGAGTACTTTTTTAAATTTAGATTGAATAGTTATGATTTATTTAAGTTTGAGCTGATTTGTGATTGTTTGTGGTTTACGCTGTGTTTTCGGATGTGCGGCATATCATAGGCCTCGGGGCTGAGATAGACAATGGATGCAGCACATAGAGGGAACGCTGAGCAACAGAGTCAAAATGCCTCCTCATCCTCGATATAGTCTGGAATTCATTGTGCAGGTAATGTGTGTGCGTGCATGCATGCGTGCTGCGTGTGTGGCCGTTGTTCATTAGTAGTCAGTATCCCTAATAAATATTCTTAATAAGGCAGTAATTAGAAAATTAAACTAATGCAGGCAAAAAAACGTTATAACACTTCTCTCACGGGAAAAATAACAGCATAAAATTCAGTTAATAATATAATAAATTGGAATTTTTTCAAACTTTTCTAGTAGGAAGTCTGTAGTTTTAAACATGTAAACTTGGTCAGCAGATCTGCTCTTAAATTCGACTCTTACGTTAGTGCAACATAGCTACACATGGTAAAGTGCGTGCGTATATGCTGTGTGCGATGCGTGGCGTTGCGAGATTGCCGTGCGTGCGTGCGTGCGTGCGTTGCGTGCTGCGTCGCGCGTGCGTGCGTGGCGTGCGGTTATGCGTTTGCGTGCGTGCGTGCGTGCGTGGCGTGCATTTACGACATGTGTTTGTCGTTGTTGTTTGCAGCAAACGGAGAAGTTCCAGGACACTCTACAGGGCAGTCTAGCCTCTGTCGGGCTGCGTGTGCTGGCCAACAGCAATCAGCCGTGCAGCCAGAGTGAGCTCGTGTTACAGTAAACATATTCGCTCTCAACGCTCCTGTGTTTCAAGGTGAAGAGAGAGGATAGAAAGAGGCGGCGTAGCAGGCGACGATGCTTGCTTCCTAGCTTCTAGATTGTCCACGTTTACACGTTAGATTGTTATACCATAATCTATATTAATATTAATCATAATTAATTTACGTAATGTTGTTCGATTATTCAACGTTGAAAAATTATTAAATTGTCTTGCCACTAGTGCTCATTATAGGTCAGAATAGATTATTGACGTAATTAACAACATGGTAGTGGGACTTCCAATGATGCTCTGTAGTGTGCATTTTATTGCTGACAATCCTGCTACGTTGTATCTTGTAGTTTCCGCGCGGAGCTGCTATTTGATGAGGAGACGGAGCAACTGTTGCAACGCTGATGTCTACCTTACTCACAATCACCTGCAGCAGCAGTCCTGAGCTCCATAACGCTCATCAGGCCAGTGCTGCCTCTATCTTGCTCATCGAGACAATAACAATCTGAATCGGCACACGTAAGTGTTTCGACGGCCGGGTTAGGCATTTCGTTTGTCTCTTGTCATCCGTTTACATCTAACGTCTGTGGCAAAGGTCCTGAAATAGAAGTCTCGTCAGATGGCATTTCGTGTCGCGTATAATACGAAGTATAATTATGTAAATCGTAATTGTGAAGCGAATGTAATAGTACATGTTTTTTTAAAGGTAAATATGCCGGTGCTGTTGTTCTCCGACTGAGAATCTGCTGGGCCCCGTATGTGTCAATGTTTTACTGATCGTTGCGATAATGTATTACAGAACTTTGGCGCGCGTGAAGATGCAGGTGACCGATGTCTCTCAGCTCATCTCGTCGGCACAAATCAGAAGTTTAAACGAGGAATACGTGCGCGAGCGTCGGCTGTCAGGACGATCCTGCTGTACGCCGAGGCAAGACCACGGACCTGCAAAGGAAACCACCTGCCCTGAGCAGGCTAAGGTGTACCTGTAACACTTCACGGCTGTTCTCCCATAACCCTTGCCTGCCTAGATGTTATCCTATGTGTGCGTCTGCCGTCAAGCTGGTCAATAAGCTAGACCTCGGTCCAAGCATCAGCCATCACGCGGCAATCGCTGTTTATATATCACACTAATTATGACTCTAATCGTATATCCTATTCTCTAATACATATATTTAGGCACCTTTTCTTTTTTTACATGAATTTTGTTGTTGACTCGGTAGGCGTTAAAAAACAAGATAAGATCAAAATACAGCGAATACACTGTTTATTAAAAAAACTACTGTGATTGATATTAAAGTATTGTTCAGAAAACTACATGAAAATACAAACTCAACTTGTAATTATTTTTACTTTTATATAAACTGTTTTTATTACAAAGTTTTGTTTTTTACATTTACATTTATTTTTTATTCATCTATATTTCTTATGAGAAAAGGTCGGCGTGAAACAAAAATATATACAGATTTTGAAAACTTTTTTTTTGCTCGCGTTTCTTTGAAGATTCGGGTTATGCCGATCTGTAAAAAAACAACATAAATAAAAAAATCTCACTTTATGGCTGCTTGCCTATTTTTCTTTATGTAATATATAATATATATAAATGAGTATGTATATCGTATGTGAAAATGTCGTCAGCATCTCCCTCGCGTCCTACGGCTCACCAGGTGATAGGACCCTTGTCTCACCTGCCACAGTGATCCTTTCGAGCACGGTCAAGATGAAGGAGTTCCAGGCAAGAACCCGGAGATGGCTCATCGACCACCTCATGTACTAGGATCAGCGAGGGGAATACCAGGCATCGCCCTACCTTCGCGCTCACCTGCTCGGGCAGAACATGGGCTGGAAAACACAGTCGAGGTAGGGGGTTCTGTCCGAATGAGAAAACACTGTATTATATGCAACACAAAAAGATTATAGAGAATTAACGAGAAAGACATCATGTGTGTGGTGTGACTCATATTCCTAGCGTAGTACTGGATTGTTCCTCTACAGTACACGCAGGAATGTAAGTTACACACGTGTGATTGTTCCTTTACAGTACACACAGGAATGTAACTTACACATGCGTGATTGTTCCTCTACAGTACACACAGGAATAGGAGTCACACACACACATGATGTTTTCTCGTCATTCTCTATATTTTTTTATTTCATATATACATTTTTTCTCATTGACAGAACCCCCCCTACCTCGCTGTGTTTTCCAGCCATGTTCTGCAGCCAGGTGAGGCGAAGGTCGGGCGACGCCTGGTATCCCTTCGCTATCCTGTACATGAGGTCGATGAGCATCTCCGGGTCTTCCTGGAACTCCTTCATCTTGACCGTGTCCGAAAGGATCATGTGCAGGTTGAAGACAAGGTCCTTTACCTGTGAGTGAGGAGCGAGGAAGATGCTGACATTTATACATACATATACATATATTTATATATATATATATATCAAGAGCTAATAATACCTAGAGTGTACAACGGAAAAACGGGAAAATATTGCTATTTCACGACAACATTATTCTACTTTGCCTGCGAGTCTATAATAATTTCATGGTATTGCATTAAGCAGAATTCTTTGCTCTCTAAAACAAGACCAACCGCTTGTCAATACGATAC